TATATATGTATATATATACATATATATATATATATATATATATATATATATATATATATATATATATATATATATATATATATATATATATATATATATATATATACACACTTTTAAACATAACTTATTTTTTAATCAACTTATAAGTGAGTTATATATTTTAAAAAAATCTAACTAATAACATTTTTTAAATTTGTAAGGGGCAAATACATGTAGCTTTTTTCCACCTTTTTTCTGTTTGACACCATACCAGCTAATAAAAGAAATTAATGTTTACTTTTTTGCTTAAAGACTAAATGGGGACATAAATTCTCTTTATATATATATATATATATATATATATATATATATATATATATATATATATATATATATATATATATATATTTTTTTTTTTTTTTTTTCCCCTGTAATTTATGGATTGTCACAAAAATAATATTTTTTCTAAAAAAAAAAAAAAAATGAGGAACAGCACTATAAAATTGCTAAATAAAAAAGTGTAGTTCTTGCATCTTTTTTTAGACAAAAACATATGAGACTTATTCATGAGATTCACCCTTTCACCTGCATAACTCGACTAAAATAAAGCCATTACAATGGAAAAACCTGTTATAATTATTGCACTGGGCGACTTTTGGTAATCATCATCATCATCATCTGCTAAACCTTCAGTAAAAGAAGTTTAAAGTGTGAGCATTTAAAGGGACAGTTCACCCAAAAATGAATATTCTGTCATCATTTATTCACGTTTTACTTGTTTTAAATCTGAGTTTTTTCTTCTGTTGAACAGCAAAGAAGATATTTTGAAGAATGCTGAAAACTGGTCGCCACTGATTTCCATATTCATAAAAACAAATACTATGCAAGTCAATGGTCAGCAGTTTTCAGCTTTCTTCAGATTATTTTTGTTTGCATTTAACAGAAGAAAGAAGCACATAAAGGTTTAAAACAAGCAAATAGTCAGTAAATGAAGGCAGAATTTTCATTTATGGGTGAACTGTCCTTTTAACGTCTGTAAGCCTCTTTACATTAGTGATGGGAAGTTCGGATCATTTTACTCGGAGCTTTGACTCATTCAGCGAAATGAATGAATCTTTTTGAGTCATTTTGATCAATTTGCTAAAATATCATTTAAATAACGGATCAAATCTTTTTTTGGTTCTGACTGCAAATGATTGGCTTCTGTCATCTCAAGTGATGAATGAACAACTTAAACCCCAATAAAAGATTCAAAAATGAACAAATCGAATCTTTTCCGGCTCTGACTGCATATGATTGGCTTACGGTGTGTCTTCCTCGCGATGAACAAACAACTCAAACCCGATAAAAGACTCGAGAAATCAACGGATAAACTCTTTTTCTGGCCTTGACTGCATATGATTGGCTTCAAATCACTCCCTGAGAGAACTCAATGTTCGAGAGTCACATTAACAATTAGTTTAAAATGAACGAATCATTCAAAATGAACAAATCATTTCAAATTAACAAATCATTTCAAATAAATGAATCATTCAAAATGAATAAGTCATTTAAAATAAATGAATCATTTAAAATAAACAAGTCATTTAAAATAAATGAATCCTTTAAAATGAACAAATCATTCAAAATTAACGAATCATTCAAAATGAACTAATCATTCAAAATGAACGAATCATTCAAAACGAACAAATCCTTTCAAATAAATGAATCATTTAAAATTAACAAGTCATTTAAAATAAATGTATCATTTAAAATGAACAAATGATTCAAAATTAACGAATCATTCAAAATGAACAAATCATTCAAAATGAACAAATCATTCAAAATGAACAAATCATTCAAGAATGACCCATCACTACTTTACATCAGACGTGTGCAAAGGAAGAAGAAATGCATGTAGTGGAGAGCGAGAGAAAGACACCTGTCACCAAAAGATTCAAAAACGAACGAATCAAATCTTTTTCCAGCTCTGATTGCATTGCATATGATTG